GAGTAAATCTCGCTTAGCCTTGCTTCCCAAAATATAGTCTCATTTGTGCTAGATCGCAATTTTGACCCAGTCTGGGTCAAAATAAAAATTCATGATACAATCAATGTATAACTTATCATAAAGCTATTATTCAACAGCTTCCTACTTATTTTGTATATAAGTAATATAGTATATTATAATGGAAAAATACATATTTAATAAGAACTAGAGTCATCCTAGGATTGAAGATTTTACTATTAGTCCTTCCTCACTTTATGCGACCTAGTGTGAATACAACTCTCATTAAAGATATACTTATGATGAAGGACTTCTTAGATCGAGCTCACCAGAAGACGATGTCTGATTCCCGTTGTACTGTGGTCGTTTGGCTTTAATACGACGTCTATTTGGATACCGTCAATGAGGCATCCTCACGAGCCGAGCTCGTGGGCTGCGCCAATTTGAACGTCGCATTAAAGCCAAACGACGGTGGTACAACGGGAATCAGAGGTTGTCTTCTTATGAGATTGGGTTGCGTATCTCTTCATCATGCACTTTCATATGAAATAAAATCTATTCAACATTGTAAACTCAGGAGATTTATCTAAACTCGCTTTTTATTAGCATATACAGAAGACTGGATCACCTTAAAAGTGACTCTGTGGCAATACGTCAAGCTGCGACAGCATGTCAAAAGTATGCACTTTACTCGCTGCCTGGGTTCGAGTCCCATTGGAGATACTGGTGAGACCCTTAAGAAAATACCTTTTGGCAGAGAAGGCTAGGTTGAAGCATCTTATTAGAAACATTCCACTATTCGTTTTTATTCTCTTATGCGACCTAGGGTGACTACATTTCTTATCCGCAATCGTAATTATGCTAATTTTCAACATCAGACCGTCGACTTGATACACGCCAAGACGCCTCGAAGGTATCATAGCCCTAGAATGAGAATAGCTCCTGAGAATTAGGGCCAAGTAAACTTCATCGGTGGATCGGGGCCTTTGGATTGTGATGTGGGGAAATCTTTCCTATCCGCACTTGGATCACCTCAAGCGAACTTGGCTAATTAAGTTCTTATGATAATATTTGTGTGTCCATTCATCTCCAGCCTGATATTCGCCTTGACGCCGGAGGCTCAACTTTTGCTAAGTTTACTTCTCCATCTGCTTACTGAGGTGGGCAGCCATTGTGACAAGAATTGCATGTCGCCGTACTCTCTGGCCGTCTGTTGGGCGCCCAATCTGGTTCCAGACTCCAGCGAGCCCGCCGATGTGAGGTTGATCGAATGGCTGATCTCGCATGCCAGATTATTGCTTCGAGTCCCGGCCCAGTGGACCAAGACGCTCAAACCTGAGGTTGAATCGCTCAACACAACCGCCGACAACACATCCACCACGTCAGTACTGGCCAGCTCAGGCGTGCCAATAGAGACTGGACTTTATGACGATTACGAAGAAATTGACCTTGACGACGACGACGACAATTACAGAGAGCAGGAGGGTCAGACACGAAAGCGTGAGAAGGTGAGAAGAAGGAGCCACCACCTCGGAATAACTCTCAACTCCTCACCGTATGCACCTCGAATGGGATCCAATAGTGAGGGTGCTTGGTTTGCGCACCATATCAACCCCACGGTTGGCTCTGAAGGGGCTGGCAACTGGGCGACGCCGGCCATGATGAGTAGTGGTGATAGTAGTGTCAGTAATAGCAACAGCAAAATAGGCCGTAATTGCATTGGCTTCCCCTTCCAGCCGTCAGAAGAAGCTTTTCCGACAGCGGCCTGGCGGCCTCTGCTGCGCAAGATGAGTACAGCGCCCAGTAGATCGTCCTGCCTGTCGGCCGACCTCATCAATCTGAGGCAGATCTCGGAGGCGGCCGACAAGAGGTGGAAGATTCTGTTGGCCAACTGCAACCTGCCCTGTCTGTTGCTGCTCGCCAGACTGCGGTCACTCTGCCAACTGGGCCTTACCTCCAACACTCTCATCGGTACCGCAGACTCGAGCCATACGGGCCTCGTCGCCGACGGTCCGACTCCACCGACCACTTGGTTGGACCAATTGGGCTGGTCGGCGCAGCGAGGCTCGGCCCCAAGGACCGTCCACATCAGTCGCCAATTGCACGCGCCAGCGGATGAGTTGGCGTCGTCCCGTGAATTCCGCGGCAAAGATGCTGCAGCCGAGTCGGAGGACGAGGAGGAGGATGAAGAAGATGAAGAGGAACAGCAAGAGGAGATGGGATTCGTCGACTTTTCCACGTACTCCTGGTTCTCAGACATCGCATTCATGACGGCTATGGAGCAGGCGAAAGCAGGTACACCAC